ATGACACTCGTGCTGCATGCACGTGGTGCCCGTGGTGGCATGACACCAAAACAGAAAGCTATTGACACACTGTAGATGTGTGCAAAAGTATTTAGTTTCCTATCCATGTGGTGGACTGATTTAAGTGGGGGGGACCTAACTCCCTCTAGGTGGGGTCCTCACCTCCTCCAGTTGGGGTACGGGGGCATGCTCCCCGAGATTTTTTCTAAAATTTGTGAAGTTAAAAGCATCAATCTGGTGCCTTGACGGGCAACTTAGGAGATCTATGGATAGATCTCTCAACTTCCAATATGAACGAACTGTAAGCAGATTTATTTTTCTTTATGGATATTTTACAAATCACTCCCCTTTCAAACTGTATTCTTGTTTATTAATAAAAAAAAATTGTTTTACTGTCATATAGTATTTTATACCTGTTTACTTTATTATCTTGTTTTTTTATAACTATAATGATCATATAAAGATGTGCCTTTACCTCACTGGTTGTAGAAAAAGCTTCTTATATTCGTTAGCATAGCTAGCTAACCAGATGCTAATAACAACAAAGTTATTGACTGGATGATCAGTGTGACAGATGAACAGATCGCGACTGGGATTACAACTAAAGAGACAGCCACGAAAATACTGCGGCATGTGTCCGGCTCCTTATGGGTACGACGCTCTGGTGCTCTCCGTCAGAAGAACTGCACCCCTGTCAGACGAGACATATACCACGTGATGACACGTTAGGCTCGTGTTGTGTTCAAGGACCCTGACCTAGGCCAGGAAAAGCAGGCACTCGCTTGTTTAATTTTTTTGCGGTCTAGATTTCTTTTAATTTTTTTCTTTTTTGCGTGTGTTTATAAATTACCTCGAGGGCCGTAGCAAATGGTCTCGCGGGCCGTATACGGCCCGGGGGCCGGAGGTTCCCCACCCCTGCTCTAAATATTGCTGTCCTTTTTTTTTTAGAAACAAAAGGTTAACTGTAATTGTTGTTTCATGAAAAAACCCTCAAGAACACAGTCTTATCTTTGCCTTTACATTTTCCTTCACATTAAATTCATGTGATAAGTGCTTAATGTTACAGGTCTGTGTTTCAAAGAATTAACTAAATAATCCATGATTGACTTGAACTTTTATGAACCGTGTAATCCTGGTTGACTTTGTTAGGCTAATTCACAATAAACGCCGCTTCTCTGAGCCACATTAAAGAAACACCAGTGGGAGGGTAACTTTGGTATTTTCCAACCTATGTTTTTGTGTCTAAGTGACAAATGGGAAAACTCAATTTTAGTATTAGGTGAAAGTTGCAGTCACTTGTATGTAAAACTGAATAATCAATAAATATGCAGTATGTCTACTAAGAAGTGAATGGATGCGAGAGGACAATGGTGGAAATATGAGCGAGATTTGAAAAGGGGAGTGCTGGGAAGAGTTATTTTGTTGGCATATGAGAAAAATAAAGCACTTGATTGAACATTAAAGCATGTAAACATGTCAGAGTAGAGGCACATAATACAAATATGAACTTGGAAATGAACGTAATAGGGCCCCTTCAAAAAAACATAGGAAGATAGAGTCCTTGTTGAAAATAGAGAAGTAACCCTTTAAGGCTGGTGTAGAAAACAAGAGTACATTTATTTGGGCACAGATGGTGTTCAATGTGGCAGCTGCTAATCTTTGATTAAACAGACAAGCTCACTCCAGAGGATTTGCCCTTTAAATACACTCGGCAGCACATTTCATCCCATGGGAGGATTTATGTGTCTTTGGGTGCGTTTGTTTTGGTAGCCAGGAGAAGGTCAAAAGAGCCTGTCCGGAGTTCATTCAGGCTGAGATTCCCAAGACAGCCTCCTCGTCCTCCCCCACTCTCCACCTCCCCTCCGGCTTTGGGAGGCTTCTTCCTCAAACAGAGGACAGGCTCTGTCTGCAGCGGTCAGCGATTGTTTGGGAAGAAGAAGGGGGGAAAAGCCCAGAGCACTCTGTCCCTCCATGTGTTGTGTCCTTGGATGGTTTTCAATGTAAATGCCAGGAAAAGAAAACACAAAGAATGTTCTGTAAGTGGTCATTTTTCCCATTGAAGTTGTTATATAAGAGGGAGAATGAGTCCTTTCAAGTAAACAAAATGCTTCTTTCAATAAATGCTTTGTAAATCAGACGTAAAGAGAGATATATTCTCTACTTCTCTTTGCCAGCATTGAAGCTGATCTGAAGAAGCACGCAGGGATTTGGGGACTTTGGGACTTTGTAGCATCATTTTCAATACAAAAAGCCATGAAGTATCAGGGATTATGTTGCATTTAAAACCTTTTCATGCATTCCACATAGCCAAATGCAGTCATCCGTGTGCAGTTGAGTTGTGATGTGAGTAAGAGTTTAACAGGCAGTGTAGAAAAGCCTGTTGGGCTCCCCGCGGTGCTCTACAGCAGGCCTAATCCTTACAGCTGACGTCCCTGCCAAGGATCCAGACTATCGGTTACTCTGCTTTAAGGAATGCAGGCCGCACATACAAACGGCCACCGTCCTGATTCAGAAAACACCTCAACTCTTAAAGGGGCAGTTCATCCTAAAAGCTAAAATATATATTTTTCACTTTTTTTTTCAATTTAGACTGTTTTGTGTGAGTTGCAGTGTTTAGATACTTACTGTAGAGTATAATGGAACTAGATTAAACTTGGCCTAAAAATGCATTGGCAGTGTATCTTTTATTCTATTGGTCCAATAATCGATTGATTTAGTCTTATTCAACTTCCATTTCTTTAGTAAATTAGATCGAATCAAGACGATATATAATTCATTTTCAGGTTCATATTTGTATTTGGTGCCCCTCTGTGACATGTCTCCAGGCTTTAATGTTCAAAAAGCTCTTTATTGTTCTCACAGTGCCTGTTCTGCAGCACCTCTTTTCACCCTCTGTCTGAAACCAGAGCCCAGTCCGTTCTGATTGGTTAGCTGGCCGGCTCTGTTGTGATTAGTCAACCGCTTAGAAATGTATCGGAAATGTCCCGCCCCTTCGCATATCACAAACCCATGGGTTTGGAGCGCTGGCCAATAGAAAGTAATGCCAAGAGTTAGGTCGTGATGTCATTATGTTACAGAAGTAAACAAAGGAGTCCAATGGAGGTGATCAGGCAGGGGGAGGGTGTGTGGGAGATACACTTTTGGGATTTTAGCCTTTTCAGACCATTGACATGCACATAAGAGCTACATAACATACTACAGGAAAGAGAAAACCACAAACAGCTTAAAAGGGCTTCTTTAAATCAACTGATCAATAAGTCAGTTTTTTTTCTCTGGAAGTTTTTCCTTGTACGATGTGAGGGTCTAAGGACAGAGGGTGTCGTTTTCTCATACTGATATTCTGCACAAACTGTGCTGTTGTATTTGCTGTAAAGTGTCTTTACTGTAGGTTGTTTTTTATTATATGTACAGCACTTTGGCTCGACCAAAAATCGTTTCAAAATGTGCTATATAAATAAAACTTGATTTGATTAAGTCGATTAACATGTACAGTATGAGTGTTAATCGACTCTGAATTTCTTTAGTGGAGGACAGCTCTAGTCTCTCTGTTTAGTTAAAATATTCCAAAAGACCTTGTTGTGGACAGCTTTCTACCAAACTATACCTGCAAACGTTATGATCACGCAAAAGGAAAAGCGGATCCATCCAGCTAGCTAACACTCACAGCTTAGCCAAGGAGAACACCTTTCATTGTTACATGTCATGCTGTCAGGAGCATCTTGCTCATGACAAGGTTCCCTCTTCCTTCGATAGGGAAGAAGAAGAAAGGTTCCTACGTGCAGAGATCTTGTTCAACACTCGACAGCTCTCACATAAACAATCTAGACTGATAAATAGCACTACATGTAAGAGAGCAAATATGTATGTTTTTGTCCCTTTTTAAGATAATAAGCACAACAAAGCTTTTATCATCCTATGTTTTTATTCTACAGAAGCTCCAGTCATGTGGAGACATCACCCAGCTCATCGCACCTCCACCCCAGAGAAGAGCCAAGTCTCTGGACCGCAGGACCTCCGACACCATCATGACGGTGAGACACCAAACAGATCATATTTTGTACTAACAATTGCAAAACGAAATACTGATTACTTGTGGATGCAAATAAAAGCTTCATCATAAGAGGTATTGACAACAACTATTACAAATACATCACAATGAAGCGGCCATAAAGACTTGAAAAGCTTAATTTCCTCACAATTTACTGTTGTTTATGGCAAAGATGTTAACATTGTGTTTCGTTACAGCCAGATTTATTGAACTTCAAAAAGGGTTGGATGGTCAAACTGGATGTAAATGGGCAGGTAAACCAATCTGTCCTAAATCAAATGGATGTTATTGATGGAAATCATTTTTTATTCCATTTGATTCTGTTTGTTTACAACTTCTCACTCATTTGTCTTTTGGTTCCCTCTAGTGGAAGAAATCTTGGTTTGTGCTGTCCGCTGACAGTCTGAGGTACTACAAGGACTCATTAGCTGAGGAGGTATTTTGATATTAATTAAATAGCTTATAGAAATAAAATACAAAGTGTTTATTTGAATACATTCACATATATTTTGCTTCCTCCCCTCAGGCTTCACATCTTGAAGGTGAAATCGACCTCACAAAGTGTTTCAACGTGTCTGAGTTCTCGGTGCAGAGGAACTACGGCTTCCAGATCCATGTAAGAAAAATGTTCCTACACTAGAGAAACCTCAAAATGTTGCATTAACATAAAATGAAGCTTAATGTTTGTTTTAGACCCCAAAGGGTCTCTACACGTTGTCAGCCATGACTTCAGGGATACGTAAGAACTGGATCCAGGCTCTGATGAAAAACGTCCGTCCAGCTAAAGCCCCTGATGTAGCCAGGTAAAGTCAAAATGAACTACTCTTGGTGAAACCTTAAAGCTTAAGTGATTTTTAAACCAAATGGAAAATAAATACTCAAATATATTATTCTAATTAAAATGTATGAATATAACCAGGGGTGCACATCACTTTTTTAGTGAGTTACTCAGATGAGTACCAGGAGACAGCGTTTGGTACTCACCCCACATGAAGCGTGGTGTTAATCTTAAGTGCAGTCTTCCTCACTGTCCTCCAGTCAGTGTCTCGCTTCAGCTCGTCCTCTATTTACCACTTCTGCATGCCTAAGATGATGGGAAGATGAGAATGATGCACCTCCCTGTCTCTTTTTAAGGCCTCCGATTTGCTTTCTTCCAAAAAGCGGTTGCCAAAACTGTGAAGTCCTTGGCATTCTCTGACGGCCAAGTTGGAAGGATCAATACCTCACGCAAATGATCAGATGACTTGAGTCATATCTGATTTCAGATGTGGGAAGTTACTAAGTTACAGCTTAGTTGCCAGTACTGTAGCTAGGGACATTTTGAGATATTTGTACGTTTACTCTGACTTTGATCTCTTGTGTAAACATTAGCTGCCCTTTACCGCTTTGATAACACTTTAATGATCAAGTCATTACACAAACATACACAATATATTCATTCTGAAATGGAGATTCTGCACAATGACTAACTTTACTTTTGTACTTTATTAGTACCCTTTTTTGATGATAATTCACTTTTTCCGTTAAGCGGGGCTTTCTAATTTACTTGAGTAACATTTGGAATACAGGAGCTTTTACTGTAACAGAAGTATTCGCTGACACTCTGGTACTCTGGCTTTTACTCAAGTAGGCAATATCTGAGTAGCTTATAGCACCGTCTGTCTGATTTCAAAGCTCTTCGCATTAAGCACCGCTGAGTAGTCGCAGGGCTCGTGTATTGCCAGCTCCACTTTGGTGTAAATAAAACTGTAGGCCAGCCTGACCAGCAGAGCGTGGTTAGAACGTTTTGATGCAGCTGATTCTTGGAGCAGTTCTCCAGTGTGGTGCGGCGGTGGGGGCACAGAATGTGCACGGGGAGCTCTCGCCAAACAGTTGGAAAACACACAATTCTGGAATAAGAAATCATAACAAGCGTTAAGGCCCAAGAGACAACACAGTGAGCACGGTGAAACAACTCTAGGCGTCCGTCGCAAGTGATACAAGCCTCTGCTCTGTACAGCGCTCACAGGTCCGTCGGTTATAAAACAAATAACAGCGGCTCGGCCAGCACGCTAGGTCATCAGTCATAGAAAGTCGAAATATTACACGCAGGGAGCGCAAACGGCAATGTACGCTGCTGTAATGTCTTTTGGGTTTCTGACAATGTCTCCGTAGCTAATAAACACAACTCGAAAGAGAATATAGAAAAAACATAACGAAAGTATGTGTTTAAAAAGAAATTAAGGTACGGCAAAGAGAAGTAATGACACAAAAATAACAATATCTTTGTAGGGCCTCGTACAGTTATATGGTGCACCCCTGAAATATAAGCAGTGTGAACAATATATTATTACAAGACATTTTACTGGCATAACGTAATACAAAATCTATGTACATCAAGTTCGCTGTCTTATCTATTGGGTACATTTACTTTTCACCACTGTACGGCTATAGTTTTTATATCTACTGCTACATTTAAATATGCACATTTTCGAAATAAGATATAAATAACAAATTGTAATTTTACGCTTCTGCTACGCAAAACAATTTGTTGATTAACAAAGACGAATCGGGGGTCCGACTGTCAGTCAAAAGAGAGAGTTTTACATTTCGTTACTGTCAAGCAGCACCTTGCAAACACAAAAGCACTGCAAATAAAAAAAACACGCTGGAAGAAGGGCTGCAACTCGTACCCGTTTCTGTTTCCTGGTCGCAAGTAGTTTGTCAATATATTCTGAAATGACTAATTTAGTTACGTTGTTGTTAGATGTGTTTTTGAATTTGCATCGTGTCTGCAAACTGCTGTGTTTCTTTGTTCTTCCGAATGGAAATGTTTTGGTAGCGTGTTTGTACCCTGTCAGCCACCGTACATTACCATTCAGCTGAACAATAAGCATACTCCCTGTGGTTTTGAACAAGTATTTTTTACATTTTCCTTTAAATTGTGTTACGTTGTACTAGCTCTAATAAAGAGAATTGAACTGAAATGTTTCATCCATGAAAACTCCAACACAATCTATCATTACTATGTGTTTGTGATCGTTTAAGCCCCGGCTCGCACAAGTCCACTTGAAGCTTCCCCAGACCAGATGGACCGGGACTCTCTGCCACTGCATCTCCTCAGAGAGAGACCCTCACCAAAACACAGCAGTGTGATGGAGAGACGGAGGGAGGGACGGGCCCAACAAAAACGCTTCGGACTGGGCCTCGAGTTCAGGGGCTCAGAACAAACCCGGCCGGACGCCATCAGAGGACTAAGCCTGTGCCCCTGGAGTTACGGGAGAACTGGAGAGGAGGAAGAGGGGAGGAGCGGAGGAGGAAGGTACGAGCGGGCATGCTGGCGCTTCGCTCTGGATGGGAGGGCGACTTGGGGATACAAACAGCAGATGGTTCACTGAAATCCGAAATGCACAGCAGACAAATTGACGAGATATCGAGCGAGTGCTGGAAGCAGGGAGAGCGGACGATGTTCACGAAAGGAGCAGGAGTCATCCCGCGTTTCGCTGAACTGAAAGAACGCTGTGAGCTGCTGGACAGCTACGGAGGGCGGATGGGGCTGTTGTCACATTTTTTTTTCCTATGCAATTTGGGCTGTGATAAAGGCATGTGGATAGCTTTTTGCCCCACAAATATGGCGGATTTAAAAACGCTCAGTTCTTTACTAAGAGTGGTGTATTTAAAAATATGCTGAACTTAAAAGCGGCCGCAACTAAAGCTCTTTGGGCGTTTCCCGCTCCCTGTAGGCGTTTGATATTACTGGAGGTACTTCTGTGCATGTAAATGTTCCCTGCAAAGGGGCTCAAATGCGCAAAGTTTATGATCAGGACTGACTGTTGGTTAAAAAGACTCAACTTAGTAAAAAAAGGTAAATAATATGAATACGGCTAATGTTTTTATCCTCTAAGCAACAAGGGTCAAAATATGCTACAACTCATAAATAATTTGTCGACTGGATTTTTCTCATCCACAAAGGAGGAATCCAAAGATCTTCATGTTGTTGATTTCATCATTGTGAAATGCTCAACATTTAATTGATACTCTATTATATATTCATTGAACTGGTTTCATTAAACGAAGGAGGATGCCTGCAGCCCAGCTGGGCAGCAGCGAGTGTCGAGAGCTGGAGAGTGGAGGCTCAGCTGAGCTGCGCAGGATGTTATCAGGCAGCAGGTCGGCGCCAGCTCACGTTGGCATCTTTACTACTTCCTACATTCTCTGTTCTATTTTTTAAGTTTTCATAACGGCCCAATGCTTTTCTTTTAACCTATGACTTGCTGTCTCGCTTAGCTGGACTCTCTAACTCCTGAATCGGTTTGCTCCCCAAATGCGGACATGAAAGTGCAAAGCACCACAACGGATACGCACAGACGCCTGAAGGATGTGGTGCACAGAAAGCAGAGAACGCAGCAGAGCATTGTCAGCAATGCAGGAGGCACGACTGCAGCTTTGTCCGCCTCATTAATCCTCAGGCCCCAGCATCTGCTGGGCATGAGCGCGAAGGGCAAC